TCCCTGCCCCCACCCCAGTTCCCCAACCCACTCCCTTCCAACAACAACCAGCTCCAACTGACTCTGGTCTTGGGAGGCGAGGCTTCCCAACCACGGAAGACTACTTTAAATGAAAAAAAGAAATTGAATAATAAAATCAGGAGTCAAAATTCATCGTCTTCAAGCCCCTCTTTCTAGCCTTTTCTACTACTCTGCTTGGTCAAGGTTTGTGCCCTACTACAGAACAGGGCTAAATTAGCCATCACCACTGAAAACTCAGCTGAATTTTTTATACCACTCTGATGTCAGCATTTTTCCATCTGTTTGGGGCTTTTTCCTCTTTTTTCCATTCTCCCCAAGTATTTATCTGGCTTCAAAATTAGGAGGATTATTTTTCAGATTGTTTTTATTCAGTGTGGCCGATTCTCATCTGATTCAGGCTGTCCAGTCAGGCCCCTCCCATTTTAGGAGCTGGAGCCTTCATTTGTGAAGAGATTCTCATCTATGAAATGGATCCTCATTTGTAAATCTTTTTTCTTCCATTTTCACAAAGCTGTAAAGAAATAATCCATCTCAACCTTACCCTTTTCTCTGGAGTCAGTGGGGTCTTTCCTCACTCCATCTTACACAAACCTGAGCTGGAAGCTCAACTGGTTTTGTTCCCTGTTTGAAATATTGTGATCTCCCTCCCTTGAAAGAAAAACCAAGAACCAGAGGAGTAGACTGACTGAAGATACAACTCCTGGCTTTCTGAAGCTATGGACTTGGATTGGATTGCTGGGGGTTTGTAAAGAAAGGTGACAAATTTCAGTACCTCTGGCATGCTGTCCCAGGAAACTAGGGCTCCCACTAACTTATGAGGTTTTTAAACACATTGAAAATGACATGACATTAAAATAAATTTGGATTTGCTCATAATGATGTGCTTTGTATGCTGCTCTTATTTGATGGAGATGGGGAGAATGTCAGTTGAAGTAGTATTGGAACTGTTCCTCCACAGTGCCATGCTCTGCCTTCCCAAAACGAGCAATGTCTTGACTTGCAGAAGACACAAATCCTAGAATCTTTGATGACATAGTAAGTTATCTGCTGGAGTTGGGTGATGTAATTTTCTAAGTAGAAACAGTCCTCACTGCTAAGATTTGTTTGGGGCTAGGACACTTAATGTGTACTGCAAAAACAGCACTGCAAGTGTTTATCTTGAATTCAGGAAGCCAGGAAGAATGTCTGGTACACTAGTTTTCAGGGCCAGACTGAGGTCAGATGGGTAATTAGTTTATCTTACTGCATGTCAGGCATTGCTAAACTAGAGATACTACAAGTGAACAGAACTGAACACAGGACAAATGTCTAATGACGTATATCCACCATTAAAATAATGGTTTCAGTGCCCTAAAAATCCTGTTTTGCCTGTTCATCCCTCTCTCCTTGCTTACACATTTGTCCAAAGGCAAAGAATGTACAATGCCAAGAGTGAACTGTAGTGTAAACTAAACTGGATTTGGGGTGATAATGGTATATCAACGTAGGTTCAATTGTTAATAAATGTACCACTCTGGCAGGGTGGAGGGATGTTTATAAAGGGGGAGGCTATATGTGTGGGAAATGTCTAACCTTCCTTAATTTTGCTGTGAACCTAAAACTTCTAAAAAATTAAGTCTATTAAAAAAAAAAAAAAAACGGTCAAGTGCTCATGCCTGTAATTCCAGCACTTTGGGAGGCCGAGGCAGGCAGATCACCTGCGGTCAGGAGATCAAGACCAGCCTCGCCAACATGGTGAAACCCCATCTCTACTAAAAATACAAAAAGCCGGGTTTAGTGGCAGGCGTCTGTAATCCCAGCTACTTGGGAGGCTGAGGCAGGAGAATCGCTTGAACCCAGGAGGCGGAGGTTGCAGTGAGCAAAGATCGCGCCACTGCACTCCAGCCTGGGTGACAAGAGTGAAACTCCGTATCAAAAACAAAACAATTTCCCTAAAGAGCTTATAGACCAGTTGGCAATCATCAGTTGAAATCTTGGTGGAATTGATACAAAATAATTCTGATAGGTTTTTTTTTGTTTCAAAAAACTTGTCATATATGTTTGGGTGGTGACAATACTAGAACTACTTAGAAGGAACCTAATTTTAAAAACGTTTTTCAGGGATTGAAAGTGAAATGTTATAGAATATAAGAGAAACCACAAAAAAAGAGGGACTGTAACAATCACATACAAAAGGTCACAGTATTTTAAACTATAAGATGAAGTCTCTCTCTAGGGAAAGGGTTCTTTTTCATCCCCCATTAACTCAAAACTTTCCTGTAGCCAAATAGGGGATCTGGTTGTTTTCCAGTGCTTCTCACCTGAGCATGCAATCAAAGTGGGAAGTTCTTTATCTGAACACCAAATGTCATACTTTCCCTAGATTTGGCTAATTTTCTCCCTATGTCCATTGGTTCGCTCTTCACCCCTAGATAATCACTGCATAGGTCACTGCAGCCTCGACTTCCTGGGCTCGAGATTCCCCCACCTTAGCCTCCCAAAGTGCTGGGATGATCGCGCCCGGCCCGCTGACGTATTTTCTGAACAAATGATGCATTGTAGCCAGGAATCTCTAGTGATATTTTGCTTCAGGCTTCGTGAGGAAAGACCATAGTCAGCTATTTTATTCTTGAAGTTTAGGAAAAAGAATTGCTCTATCTTAAACAGTGAAAGGATATTTTTTGAAGTATGGCAGCTTTCCCGAATCCCCACTTTATATCTTCCTTTGTTCTGAAATCTTAGGACCTTCGATGGTTCCGGAATCGAATCACCCTGAAGCAATTTATTTTAGAAAATAAGGCAAATCGGCTGGGCGTGGTGGTGCATGCCTTTAATCCCAGCACTTTGGGAGGCCGAGGCGGGCGGATGGCTTGAGCTCAGGAGTTCGAGGCCGGCCTGGGCAACACGGCGAAACCTCGTCTCTATTAAAATACAAAAATTAGCCAAGTGGCGCGCGCCTGTTGTCCCAGCTGCTCGGGAGGCTGAGGCGGGAGAATCGCTTGAACCCAGGAGGCGGAAATTGCGATGAGCCGAGATCCCGTCACTGCACTCCAGCCTGGGTGACACAGTGAGATCCTGTCTCAAAAAAGAAAAAAAAAAAGAAGGCAAACCAGTAAAACAAGAATTTCTGTACAGTTCGCGCCTATCCATAGCAAAATGGAGGACTTCTCCAGGGAACTGCAACTCCCAAGAAGCAATGCGAGGGAAGGTGGCAGTTACTATTTTTTCCCCGTGGGCACCTCTCGATCCAGTATGGGAAATAGGTGCTAACGTTTAACACACCGTCCTCATACTAAATCTGGGGGGGAATTGGTAACTCGAAAACCAAATACTCAGTCTTCGGAGAGAACTAACTCAACCTACTCCTCCTCAATAGGGTCCGAAAACCATTGTTACGCCCATTGGGTAACCCCGCCCCTGGGGAAAAGGGGTGGAAAGCGGAAGTGACGACACCGGGCGCTCCATTAAATAGCTGTAGACGGAACCTCGGCTTTCTCTCGGCCTTAGCGCCATTTTTCTGGGTGAGTGTGTTTGCTTCCTGTGATCGGATTCCGCGTACAATCCGTAGACATCTGACCTCGACACTTACCATCATCACACCAAACTAACTGTAGCCTTTCTCTCTTTCCCTGTAGAAACCTCTGCGCCATGAGAGCCAAGGTGAGCGGTTCCTGGTAGTAAGCTTGGGAGGTAGGAGTTGGCGAGTAGTAGGGGGAGACTAAGGAAAGTCCGCCATACCTCCTGAACTACTGGGTTTCAAGGGTACCAAGAACTGGTGGGAGAGGAAAAGTAGTTTGTAAGAGAGCTAGCGGTTAAGTGCTATGGGTAGAGAGGGTGGGAATTAGAAAAGGGTGGAAGTCTGATTTTATGTTGCGAGGGTGTCCAAGTTACTGATTGCTACGACCAATCTCATACTTGGTTAAGAATCTGCCCGGTTCTAAAGAGTGCATTTCATATCCCTCCTAAGCCTACTAATAAGCTTTATCTCTCTTTTTTTTAAAAAAATTATCTGCTGCTTGTGAACGGTTGCTAGTGGAGGAAGAAGCGAATGCGCAGGTATGTTGGAGACTTTGCCAGCCCAGGAGGAGGGAAGTTCCTTGGACAAAACTTAGGAGAAACATTTGGTTTGGAAATCTTAAAAGATCTTTAGGAGAAAAACGTTTGAGTATTTTCTTCCTAGAGCAAAGGATAGAACAGAGGACGATAGAACCGTAGTGCTTGTTCATTTTACCACCTCATGTTATGTGCACGTTTGATTTAATGTAGGAGGGAAAGAACTCTGGTTTGAGAATAGGTGTATTCCATTCCTGTGTTTGCTTTTCAGGCTGAAGCGCAAAAGAAGAAAGATGAGGCAGAGGTCCAAGTAAACCGCTAGCTTGTTGCATCGTGGAGGCCACAGGAGCAGAAACATGGAATGCCAGGCGCTGGGGATGCTGGTACAAGTTGTGGGACTGCATGCTACTGTCTAGAGCTTGTCTCAATGGATCTAGAACTTCATCGCCCTCTGATCGCCGATCACCTTTGAGACCCACCTTGCTCATAAACAAAACTGCCCATGTTGGTCCTCTGCCCTGGACTTGTGACATTCTGGACTATTTCTGTGTTTATTTGTGGCCGAGTGTAACAACCCTAAAATAAATCACCTCTTCCGCTCTTTTAGCTGAAGATTTAAATCGTCTTGTCTATTACGTTTTTTATGGTTCCATCGGGTGGGGGTTTTCTATCATTACAGTTTGCCCTGTCACTGCCTGTGCTATGGAGGATATCAAAGGCAACAGCCCGGGTTATGTGGTGTGGTTTGCATCTCGATGGAGCTGGATGGGATATATCTCTGGAGGCAGGTTTTAGATTTCGCGGGTTATTTGGGGCCAATGCTGGTACCGCCCCTACCTTCCAGGAGGCCTGCCTTGACGACTACTGCTTAGTAGACTGCGTCGCGCCTTTGGGTTAGGTTGCCATGGTGACACGCAAAGCGTGGTGGGAACTTCCTGCGGCATGTCGCACGCCTACTTTGTACACCATAGAGTATGGTTCCGGGTCTGGTGGCTAGAGCGTCACTTCTTCCGCAGGAAGCGGAAGAGCGATCGGGTGGGCGGCTCTTTGTCGAAGCTAGAGGACCGGCAGGCGGCAGCAGCAACTACGGCGGCGGCGGCAGGTGAGGGAGGCGGGAGACTTAGGTGGAGGCCGCGCCCGGAGGGGAGGAGTCGGGGCCGGCCCAGCGACTGGGCTCGGCCGGGCCACACAAGGCCCCCCAGAACCGAGCTGGCTCGTCCTCACACCCCAGGGCAGTGCCCCTTTTCTGACTGACCCCGCATCGCGAGCAAACGCCAGCTTCGTGACGTCACAACCCTGCCCATCCCCTCAGCTTGATGACACCTGGAGCCCCAGCTCCCCGTTTCACTTCGCGCGCCCTTAGTGTCCCTTTCACGTAGCCCACGGCTGAGCGCCAGCGGCACTGCACGGAACCTGCCAAGCTAGAAGACTTGCTGCGGGAAAACTCCTAGGACTTTTTTCGCAAACTCTAGGGTGTTGGGAAGCGTCACAATCACTGCCTCCAAGTCTAATCGGCCATCCCACTGCACTGTCAGGCGCTGCCCTTTTAAGGTTCCTCACTAGCCATTACTAACTCCAACCCTTAGCCGGGCTCTGACCCTCACATCCTCTTTCATCTTGATGCAGGGCGTCCCGCACCCTTTGTTCACTCAGAGCTGGTTTTCCAACCCATGCTCCCAGTCCTTCCGAATTAGTTTTATCTCTTACTCTTCTTACTGGCCACTTCTTCCTTGGACAGGTGAAGTTCAGTTTGAACCCTGAGAAAATCCTGACGTTCCCTAAGCTTTGCCGTTTTGTCAGATTTCTTTCTTGTGACAACCACCCCATTGTCCTCCACTCTTACCCCTCCTTCCACCCAAGTCTGTGTTTTTTTCCTGCTCAGAACCCAGCAGTGATGTGGAGGTGGAGACCCACAGGAGCCCCGGACTTCACCTGAGCTACCTCAGGTATCAATTCTGGGAGAGTTGGGTGGGGAGGAGCATCATATCTAATTATCTGCTGCTGGTGCGACTTGCAACGTGAGCCAGGTTTGGATAGATGGCATTTGTACTTCACCTGGTCATTCCCTTTTACTAAAAGTTTGTATCTTTTACCACTTCTTTCCTTGATTGCTTCTATTATTCTGGGACTATCTCCCTTTAGAGGAGGAGGACCCTCTTACAGATTCTCATGTAACTGTGGTCTCTGGTTTGGTTCGTTCGTTTTAGGGAGACCTAAAGGCAAAGTCACAGCAGTGGGATGGGGTAGGTCAAGGCCAAAGTAATCAGGAAAGATTCACTTATGCTCAAAGGGAACAATGTGAAGTTTTCCTATTTCAGCGGCAGAGGGAGCCTGAACACCGCATAGGAAAGGCTTGGGAGGTCAGACACGTGGTAGCAGGGACTCCAGGTCTTACTAGGGGTGGAGAGAGGGGAGGGCTAGAACCAGGGCAGTGGACTGACATTCCAAAGCTCTCTTGGGAAATAGGAGACTTAAAAAGCTTTTATGGAGTCTATAAATAAAGAGGATCTTTATGGGTTGAGGAATGGTGTGGCTAGATGTCAGTGGGATCTTCACAGAGGGGAGTAGGAAGGGGGTGGAGAATGGGGAAAGGTCACTTGTTCCTGTGAAATTAACTCCTTCCCACCTTGACCTTATCACAAATGGTTTGTCCTGGAAATCTAGAAGTGGAGATTCTAACTTAGAACTCATACCCTGAAATAGAGGGGGCTGACCTCTCTGCCGCTGACAGTGATGATGGGTAGGAGGGAATACTAAAATATGACAAGTTTTGAGACTCCTCTCAAGCTGGTGACACCAGTCTCTTCACCCAGGATTTCTTGGCTTCTAGAGATTTGATACGTGCAGAGCCCTCACCTGAGGAAAAGGAAAAGGGGTTAAGGAAGTTTTGTTACCATCTTCTACAACCCTAGTAGCTCAGTAGTAGCCCATCTTGGGCACTATTCCCAGTTTCCTCCCAGACTGTTCAGATACTGACTGCAGTTTTAATTTCACTTCCACAACTTTAATAAGGTCAGCTCAGAAGGAAAGATGAAATCCAACACTTATTTTTTCCCTGCTCCCTCCTGGGCCTATCGTCATTAGTGAAATTAGGTGGCTTCACCCCAACTCCTTCCCTCTTCTGTTAGCCAGGCAAGTGTGAATCATTCTGACCCAGACCAGGTGCACAAAAGCCTGGGCGGGACTTTTGATGAGTCAGACATTTCAGCCAGAATTCTTATCCCTTAGATTCTCCATCTCTAAAGCCATTACCCCTCTGGGCCGCCTGCTCTATAGTCAGGAAGAGTGGGATCTCCCTGGAGGACTCCTGTTTGATACAGTTCTCCTCTTTTGTAGTGGTCACCAAGAGTGGCAAGATAAAGAAAACCCTGAGTTGGGCGGGACCAGGATGCCTGACCGGGACAGCTATGCCAACGGTACCGGGAGCAGCGGTGGAGGCCCTGGAGGTGGTGGCAGCGAGGAGGCCAGTGGGGCAGGGACAGGCAGTGGCGGGGCCAGCTCAGATGCCATCTGTAGAGACTTCTTGAGGAATGTGTGCAAGCGAGGCAAGCGTTGCCGATACCGCCACCCAGACATGAGTGAGGTGTCCAACTTGGGGGTGAGCAAAAACGAGTTCATCTTCTGCCATGACTTCCAGAACAAGGAGTGTAGCCGCCCAAATTGCCGTTTCATCCATGGCTCCAAGGAGGATGAGGATGGCTATAAGAAGACAGGAGAGCTTCCCCCACGGCTGAGGCAGAAAGTAGCAGCTGGCCTTGGCCTTTCACCGGCAGACCTACCAAATGGCAAGGAGGAGGTCCCTATCTGCCGTGACTTTCTCAAGGGTGACTGTCAGAGAGGAGCCAAGTGCAAGTTCCGTCACCTGCAGCGGGATTTTGAGTTTGATGCTCGGGGTGGAGGAGGCACTGGTGGGGGCTCAACAGGCTCAGTCCTCCCAGGACGACGTCATGATCTCTATGATATCTATGACCTTCCTGACAGGGGCTTTGAGGACCATGAGCCAGGCCCAAAACGCCGGCGAGGTGGATGCTGCCCCCCTGATGGCCCTCATTTTGAGTCATATGAATATAGCTTGGCTCCACCGCGAGGGGTGGAGTGCAGACTGCTAGAGGAGGAGAATGCCATGCTCAGAAAGCGGGTAGAGGAGTTAAAGAAGCAGGTCAGTAACCTGCTGGCCACCAATGAGGTATTACTGGAACAAAATGCTCAGTTCCGCAATCAGGCCAAGGTCATAACCCTGAGCTCCACTGCACCAGCGACTGAGCAGACTCTGGCCCCCACTGTGGGCACTGTCGCTACTTTTAACCATGGCATTGCCCAGACTCACACTACTCTCAGCAGCCAGGCTCTACAGCCTCGTCCAGTGTCCCAGCAAGAACTGGTGGCCCCTGCTGGAGCTCCAGCAGCTCCCCCAACTAATGCTGCACCTCCTGCTGCTCCACCACCCCCACCCCCACACTTGACCCCAGAGATCACGCCACTGTCAGCTGCCCTGGCTCAAACAATTGCCCAGGGAATGGCACCCCCACCTGTCTCCATGGCTCCTGTGGCTGTATCTGTGGCTCCTGTGGCCCCTGTGGCTGTATCAATGGCCCAACCCTTGGCAGGAATCACAATGAGCCACACCACCACTCCCATGGTGACTTACCCTATCGCTTCCCAGAGCATGCGCATCACGGCCATGCCACACTGATGGGGCTAATGGACACTCCCCTGGTATAGCCTCCCAGGGCTGGGGTCAAGGGGCCCTTGCCCACTTGCCTAGCCCTCCCCAGCCCTGTCTGAAGGGCTCCCTTGAGAACTAGGACAAGAGACTACAAGGAGTATGTCCTGAGGAGGGGTTGGGTTGGTGTGTTTTCTCTCACCTCCCTTTTATGAGGGTCCTCTTGTCCATCTTCAAGCCTCACAGTGGGGGCTTGCAGAGGAATGCAGACTGAAGCCAGCAGAGAGGAAGGACTGACTGAAGGGCTGTGTCCTCTTACGGGAATTTGGGAACATCCCTCGTCTTGTCCTCTCTTCTGCACAGCACAGGTTCCAGCACTGGTTTTGGAAGAAAAAAATACCCTGCCCAGAGAGAAAGCCAGGAAAGATTGGGAAGTGGGTGATTAGGAGAGAAGGCCTGACAGGAGCCTTCAGACAATTTGGGTCCTAGTTGGTTGGGTTGGACAATAAAGGAATTGCTTCTGGGCCCTGGGAAGGCTGGGACTGTAGTGCTCCAGCCCAAAGACTAGGGAAGCATTCATTACCCTAGTTTGGCCTGAAAATCCATAGGGCAGGGCCCACTACTTTCCAAAGAAATAAAAGAACAATTATTTTTAACAAATGGAGGCAGTGAAAACTTGCTTAGATATTCTGTGTGGAAGATGGGAGCAGTAAATAGATCTCATGCCAAAATGGGATAAAGACCCCAGCCTCACATAGCTTTGGTAAGATGGATAGAAGCCAGTGAAGAAGGGTAGGGACCCAGAACAAGACCAAATGGGGCTTTGGGGAAGGCACTTTATGGGGCAAAAGCTTTGGAGCCACCTAGTCTAGTTTAAAAATAGTCCCATCTGTTTCTGGTCTCTGTCGGTATGTGCTGTTCCCAGGTTGCCTTAGTAACCAGGGCTCCTAGGGTCATTTAGCGGGGCAGGCAGTAAGGAGGGTGTATTTGCTGAGAAATGGGGATGCGATGTTACATAGTTGACAGGTCCTTATTCAAACAGAGCAGGACAGGTGGAGTTGATGGCAGTTGCCTCTGAGTTGATGGCAGTTAATGTCCCTCCTATGATGGCAGTTAATGTCCCTCCTACGCCAGCCCTTCCTCAGTGGCCAGTTCCTTAAGCCTTCAAGGCTTAGGAGGTCTGGGAAAAGAGTCCTTCTAGGGACACAAGGCTCAGGGTCCATCCCTTTCCTCTATCTCCACATAGCACCAGAAGTTTTAAATCTACTTTAGTCAGTAAGGCCAGGGGCCCCAATAGTGAAACCTCAGTTCCTCCTCAGCTCACGGCTGATGTAGGGAAAACAACTCAGGTGTCTAGTCTAATGGGACAGTAGATTTGGGGGTAGAGAGTGATCCTGGATTGTGTTCCCCCTCGTTATATCTCGTGCTACCTCTTGCTGTCTTGTCTGGTTGATCACTCAGGTCGCATCTGGGATTGGAGATGGTGGGCTAGGTCAAGGCCAGTCATTAAAAAGCCTGAAGACTGAAAGTGGGCTAACATTGTTTGTGGATTTTAGAAGCAACACATTGATAAGTTTAATGTTGTTTTTTGGGGGCACAAGTTTTGTTTTGTTTTGTTTTGTTTTGTTTTGTTTTTTGAGATGGAGTCTTGCTCAGTTGGCAGAAGACTGGAGTGTAGTGGCACAATCTCAGCTCGCTGCAACATGCGCCTCCTGGGTTCAAGTGATTCTCTTGCCTCAGCCTCCTGAGTAGGTGGGACTACAGGCACCCGCCACCAAGCCCAGCTAATTTTTTTATTTTTAGTAGAGACGGGGTTTCATCATGTTGGCCAGAATGGTATCGATCTCTCGTGATCCACCCGCCTCAGTCTCCCAAAGTGCTGGGATTACAGGTGTGAACCACCGTGCCCGGCAATTCTAGACTATTAAAAGAGATGGCTTACGAGCATTTAGAGAAGAATGTAACAATAGATACCAACATGAATTATCAGTCAAATCCTGACTGACTGTATTTCCTCCTTGCCAAGTTATCTCCAAAGAGGTAGATTTGGAAACTTTAGACGTTGTATGTCTTGTATGTATTTACTCCAGCTAAAGACCACCAAGAATACACCTGGTAATTGAGCAAGTTGGGTTTAATGCTCATCGCAGTGAGGGGGAGGGCTCACCATTGAGAATACGTGGTGTGTCTCAGCATGAGGGTGTTAGGAAGGACTTAGAGGACTTAGACTTTGGTTAAGTGATTTTGGGGAAGATTCAAGAAAGCGGGTGTTTTTATGGGTTGGGTGCTGTTAAGGGAAGCAAGGATAACTCTATGATTGGGTAGCTTGTCTAGAAGAAGGGCAGACAAGTGAACCTAAGCTGCAGTCGATGATGAAGTCACTAGCTGGGAAAGGGGATGTTTGCTGTTTTGTGGTTTGCACACTGACCTTGTTTTGTGCTTAAACAAAATTGTCAAGTGATTTTGTTTTTTGTCTCACTTCATCACAGTCACTGAGTGATCTTGTCCGATGCTGGTGTTTTGTGAGATTGTGTCCAAGAGAACTCCTGACCTCAAATAGAAGAGAACTTTTGGACACAAACGCACATAGCTTACAGGTACTACCTGTGAGCACCAGGTCAGCCCTAACAGCTCTGAAGCCTGGCTGTGTCAGACCAGTTCCCAGATTACAGGAGCTGCTTTCCTCTCACCTGCTAAGTCATCACAGATAAGAGGAAAATTATGGGTCAGTTAATAGTAGCATTTTTTCCTTTCAAATGGCTCTGGTTAAAAAATAATAAGATAAAAAAAATAGCATTTGGTGGAATCAAACCGAACACTTGTACTTAGTATTGGTTAGGGCATTTATGTTGGTGAAATCTCTGTTCTCTAGTGATAAGCCGAAGGGCTGTGTTTTATTATAAAAAGAAAAAACCCAACTTGGGTAAACATATAAAAAGCCCATTTATCAACAGTAACACAGGAAGAGCTAAATAATATCCAAAGTGTCTGTAACTTGGATTGACTAAAACACTGGAGCAGTCTCACACTAAAAACTTGCTTAGATCTTGAGCTTGTCGGGGAACAATGTTAGAGATCTATATGAGCAATAATTCACATGAGAACAACCTGGGACTTCCAGTTGGCTGCAAAAAAATAGAATCTTAGCCCTCAATGTGTCCATTTATAAATATTAAGAGCATGCTATGTTCTAGGCATCTTTCTAGGAGGCTCCATAAGGGCAGTAGAACCTTGGTAATGGATTATAAATACAGCAGTCTACGTTCTGCGTTAAGTATAATTTAGTAGTGTGTTCTTCTAAATGTAATTTTTAAAGAGGGCCATTGACAAACCAGTGTGGTTTGCTGGAAAAAAGAAAAGGCTGGCAAGAGAAAGCTTCAAATAGAAGTCTACAAATATTTGAAGGGCTGCCCAGTGGAGGAAGGTCCTGTTTGCTACATAGGAAATAAAAAGGGAGTTCTGGAATAATGGCTAACATTTGTTTTTTTGTTTTTTTTTTTTTTTGAGACAGAGTCTCACTGTGTCCCCCAGTCTGGAGTGCAGTGGCGCGATCTCCACTCACTGCAAGCTCCACCTCCACGGTTCATGCCATTCTGCCTCAGCCTCCCAAGTAGATGGGACTACAGGCGCCCGCCAGCACGCCTGGCTAATTTTTTTTTTTTTTGTATTTTTAGTAGAGACGGGGTTCCACCGTGTTAGCCAGGATGGTCTCAATCTCCTGACCTCATGATCCGCCCGCCTCGGCCTCCCAAAGTGCTGGGATTACAGGTGTGGGCCACCGCGCCCGGCCAGCTAACATTCGTTGACTGCTTAATGTAAGCCAAGGCTCTGTGCTAGGCACTTTACATGCAACGTCTCGTTGACACAATGGGTACTATTATTGTACCCATTTTACAGAGGAGAAAGCAGGCTTAAAAAGTAACCTGCCCAGGGTTCTGCAAGTAAGGAATGGGGCCAGGAATCTATTCAGGCAGTCTGACTCCAGACTTGACATAAGAAAGTTCTAATGATATAGCCATCCAACAAAGGGATCATTACTTGGCAGTTTTTTTATTTGTTTGTTTTTTGAGATGGAGTATCACTCTGTTGCCCAGGCTGGAGTGTAGTGGCATGATCTCGGCTCACTGCAACCTCCACCTCTTGGGTTCAAGTGATTCTCCTGCCTCAGCCTCCCAAGTAGAGTATCTGGGATCACAGGCACCTGCCACCATGCTTGGCTAATTTTTGTATTTTCAGTAGAGGGGGTTTTGCCATGTTGACCAGGCTGGTCTTGAATTCCTGACCTCAGGTGATCCGCCTGCCTCGGCCTCCCGAAGTGCTGGGATTACAGGGTGAGCCACCACGCCTGGCTTGGCAGTAACTTGAGGAATAAAGAATACGGAAGGAATTTCCTCAAATCTTGTTGCCCTTCCCATCTTTGTGAGCTGAGATCAGAGTACCCTCTGCCTCTGCCTCTTGGAGGCGATTATGGTTTACATATAAATGCAGATTGCAAGTCCAGGAAGTTTATTCTCTTTCCTCCTGTAGGCCTCACGCTGTAAGACACTTCCTCTAACAAATGGCCATCCCTTCCTCTTGTCCACTTACTGCTTATCACCACCAGGTGGCACCTGGGCAGCAGAATTGTCAGTGGGCGGGGACACACCCTGTTTACTTGTGTTGGTAACTAACTGCATTGCAGCTGCTGATCCTTTGGCTCCTGGGCCCCAGCTGGGACAAGACCTTCCTGAGGATGAAGTTTTATCCCCTATATAATTTCTGATGATCTGGATGAGGTGAGGAAGGGAGAAGTTTGGAAAGGAACATCCATAGGTCATCCTCTCCATTCGCCCACCCTCAGGAACATCCTCCCCTACTCCAGTGCTTGGCAAATTTCAGTTTATAGAGAGGTTTCTCTCTCAGGAGTTTCATCCATGTTCCTGCTGTAGTTCTGCTTTATCAGTTGGTGAGCAGATCACTCATAATTCCTCCAAGTTCCTTGTTTCCTTTTCTACCTGCTCACCTCTGGGAATATGGAGGATGTAGGAGAGAGAATATTGTTTCTTAAATAGTTCTGCAAACTGAGTGAAGCAGTTGAGATACTACTGGCCCTAGGGAAGTAGAGAAAAGGAAGTGAAAAAATTTAAGGGGTAGAGGCTGGGCAGGGACAGGTTTTAAGCAGCTTTGGTAAACACAGGCTGATGAAATCTGTGCCCTGCAGAACCAGATAAAATTTATCAGCTGCAGGCCTCATCCTGTAAGACACTTCCTCTAAGAAATGGCTAGTTTCTCCCCAATGATCAACCCCAGTTCTGCTGCTGCATCTGACAGATTTACATAATATGCCCCACATATACTGCATTAAAAGGTAATCATCTTATGACCAACACTTCCGTCATCAACGTCCAGTTAGCCTAGTACCTAGATCCCAGGACAACACTCTACCTCTAAGGCCAGTTAACTGGTAACAATAGTCATCGGTGTACCCTGCACTTTTTCCTTCCTAAACCTACACAGTACACTGAGGGACTGCATTAGTTCTGCACCTGACTGGCAAACCTTCCTTCTAACTCAGGCAAATGTGAAAGGGAATTGTCTTTCCCTCACTCTTGATCCCTCATTTTAGTGTGCTAGAAGTTCCTCAGGGTCAGAAAATTCTTGGAAAATGTAATAATTTGCGCTGCCTCCCTCCCTTTTGGAGCCAACTAGTCTTATACCCATCCTCTATGATAGAGATGACTTATTAACTCTTGGAAATTTCCAAAAAGAAATAAAGCCTCACTTTCTATTCACTCCTCTGCTTTTTCGCCCACTTTCCCTGAAGGCTGGATTATCTCAACTCTGTAATTCTCTGACTCTCCAGTTTTCTCCAGGGTCAGTCGTTACACCACACAAACAAGGTAGGGGATTGGGGACGGGATAGACAGGGTCAATCTTCAAACACTTTCATTCCAAATACGATCGTATCCTTTCCTTTTGTAAAGGCAGGCAGGAAAAAGCTGAAGGATAAGGAATGTGCTTAGAGTATGAAAACTAAAAGTCGGCAAAAGAATATATACATATCCCAGACCAAATCCTGCCAAACCGTCCGAATGAGTAGAGGGAAATTCTGACGCTCCACAACCCCTCAACTTCGCAACTTGGGCTTTCTCCAAAACCAAGAAATTGGCGGTGCGGCTCTCCATGACGTCATACCACAGGCACTCCAATCCCACGTGGGGGAGCTCTTGGTCCCGCCTCTCCTGAAATGGTGCACCACGCCTTCTCCTCTTTATTACCAATCCAATGCCGCCCCTGAGCCCCTTTCTTCCTTTTCCCGCCATCCCAGACCTCCCATCTTGGCCTTCGGGCCCAATCAGGGAGGCCCTACCTATCCGAAACCCGCTGCCTTCCCCGCGGAAGAGGGGAGGAGTTTCAACCTTTTAACTCCACCTTGGTCTGTGCAGCGCGGACCAACCCAAATCGCCAGAAAGGAGGGGCGTGGCTTGAAGTCCCCCACCTCCATCCCGGGGATCACGTTTTGCCACTGGAGGGGGGAGCTGATCGCAGGACTAGGCAACCTCCAGCCAGTCCCTGGGTCGGGCGGATCCTCCCAGAGGTGGCACAATGGAGCGATCTCCAGGAGAGGGCCCCAGCCCCAGCCCCATGGACCAGCCTTCTGCTCCCTCCGACCCCACTGACCAGCCCCCCGCTGCTCACGCAAAGCTAGACCCAGGTTCTGGAGGCCAACCTGCTGGCCCTGGCGCGGCGGGTGAGGCCCTGGCGGTGCTGACTTCGTTCGGGAGGCGGTTGCTGGTGCTGATACCGGTGTATTTGGCCGGGGCAGTGGGACTCAGCGTGGGTTTCGTGCTCTTCGGCCTCGCCCTCTACCTGGGCTGGCGCCGGGTCCGCGACGAGAAAGAACGGAGCCTTCGAGCAGCGAGGCAGCTATTGGACGACGAGGAGCAGCTCACGGCGAAAACTCTTTATATGAGTCATCGAGAGCTACCTGCCTGGGTGAGCGACCACCCTCGGTCCTCTGTGCAGCATAGCCCCCTTCCACTCCTTCCGTCTGGGGCTTTTCCTCCTTATGCCTAGAGTCAGCTCCCCGCCTGGGGACAGTGGGCCCCGGACTTTCCCCTCTCTTCCCGCTAGCTGCCTGCCTGCTGGACGCGCCACTCTTGGGACCGACTGCTGACTCTCCCCACCCACCCTTTCCCACGCCCAGACTGGATCCTTCCACAGAATCAGGACTTCTTCCTCTACTCTTGGGCAACAGCAGTCATAACATCTGGGGACCCCGTCTCAGACGAACCTCTCCCTCCTAGCCAAGCCATCTTCAACGCCCCTCTTGCTTTTGGTGCCACTCGCGCCTTTGCTGCTCCTGGAAATCCTGGTCCCGTTACCTCTCAAAGGTTTCCCTAGTCTTTGCTATGCTCCTCGAGACTTTTTACCTACTTAAGGCCTTACGGTTCTCTCTTTTCTCGCTTTTATCCCCGGGTATCCGCTGGAACCCAGCCCCGGCCCCTGGACGACCCTCGGGCAGCCACCTTCAGGCCTCCAGCCGCCAGGCTGCAGCGCGGCAGAGGCGGCTGCTGGAGGGAGGGCGGGGTACGGGAGGAGGTGGTGCGGCTGCTGCAGTGCCCGCGGCCCACACTCCCCCCCACCCCCTCGGCCGGCCACACCCGTTTCCGGACTGTGGGCTGCGCTTGTTCCGTTGGGGCAGAGACCCTTATTTCTGCGGCGGCCGAGTCTGCTGTGCTGAGGCGGATGCCTTCTCTTTAGCCTTGCAGAGGCAAAGCCCGTTACCCGGCCCCTCCCAGCAGAGGTGCCAGTCTAGGGGGAGAATGGTAGCAGAGAGGAGTCAAAATTGACACTAGGCAGACACAGCCAAACTTCCCAGGCCTTGGACTGGAAAGGGGAGGAGAAAGAGGGTGAAATGGCCCTAGGGGACCTGTAGCCTAGGCAGCAAGTGTTTGTCTCCTCCTCGTCATCATGGAAACCAATCTACCCCCAATACAAAGCACAGGTGTCCTTTCCCTTAAAAGGAGTCACACAGAGAAAGATAGAGGAAAAGAAAAAAAAACAAAAAAAACAACAAAAAAAAAACACGCACACACACACACCCCAAAAAACCCACAAAGCCAGGCCGAATTAGGTCTTCTGGCCCCTCCCTGACTCAAGGAAGGACTTGCTTCCCTCTTCACCTTCCTGCTCTAGAAGCCCGGTCTGAAGGGAGTTGAGAAGGCAGGACTTTTTTTTTTTTTTTTTTTTTTTTAGACAGAGTCTCTCACTCTATTGCCAGGCTGGAATGCAGTGGCCCGAACTTGGCTCACTGCAACCTTCACCTCCCCGGTTCAAGCGATTCTCCTGCCTCAGCCTCCTGGGTAGCTGGGATTACAGGCATGCACCACCATGCCCAGCGAATTTTGTATTTTTTGTAGAGACGGGGTTTCAGCATGCTGGTCAGGCTGGTGTCGAACTCCTGACCTCGTGATCCACCAGCCTCGGCCTCCCAAAGTGCTGAGATTACAGATGTGAGCTACCGCGGCCAGCCTGGAACCAGGACTTTTTAAATCCCAGGATTCCCTGAAACTTTGATTTGACTGGGCCTCCCCCTCCAGAAAGAATGTGCCCTTCTCCTTCTCCTGCTCCTCTCTCTCTCAGCAGCTGTCATTTCACCACATCCCTGAGCTACCCACAGGGCAACAATGTGACCTCTACCCTGTCAGCTCCCCTTATTAGAGAGATCTCAGCCCCCAAATTCTGTGAGGAATAAACCTTTGGGGCATCCCAGCCCCTCATCCACCCTGAGTGTGAGGAGTCTGTCACACTTACACACTCCCTCTCCTCTGTGGTATACCACCAGCATCTTGGTAGGAAACCAGAGGCGAGGGTGTGCACGTCACTGTCTCTGCCTTCCCCACCTCCAGGTCAGCTTCCCAGACGTGGAAAAGGCTGAATGGCTCAATAAGGTGAGGATTGATTTGATTTTTAGTCTTCGTGAGGGGAGAATGGGAATTTGTTTCTTCTTGCCAGACCCACCCTCATCCCTCAGTGCTCTCCGTAGGGATTCTGAAGGAACTTGCCTTGAGAGGGAAGACTGGGTTCTCCTCTGACCATCTCTCTTTCCTCCCAGATTGTGGCCCAGGTCTGGCCCTTCCTGGGCCAGTATATGGAGAAACTTCTGGCTGAGACTGTGGCTCCGGCTGTTAGGGGATCTAACCCCCATCTGCAAACATTTACATTTACACGAGTGGAACTGGGTGAAAAGGTATGTGTGGAGGAGGAAAAGTGAGGCGGTGGGATAGGGAGGGTGAGTGACCCGGAGTAGACTGAGGTACTTCTCCCTTTCCCTCCCCTGTCTCAGGACTTTCTCTCTCCCTAGCCATTGCGCATCATTGGAGTCAAGGTTCACCCAGGTCAGAGAAAAGAGCAGATCCTGCTGGACTTGAACATCAGGTAATACCACTCACCACTCTTACTGCTTCCCCTTCAATGTGTCCTGGTCAGTCCAGGCTACTTCACTCCCCTTCCCCGCAACTTCAGCCAAGGACTAACCCTCTTGGTTCTCTTCTTTACCAATCCCCAGCTATGTAGGTGATGTGCAGATTGATGTAGAAGTGAAGAAATACTTCTGCAAAGCAGGAGTCAAGGGCATGCAGGTAGGCCATATGTCATAATGGGGCCCACATAATAGGGAATGTTTGTCCTACGTTTCATGGGATATGCGGAACTGTGAGGTTGGAAAGACCAAGGCTGAGAAAGTCTGGGAGGACAGAAGAGGGACTTTTCTGGGGAAAGGCTTTGATTTTCTCTTCTTGCCTCAGCTACATGGTGTCTTGCGGGTGATTCTGGAGCCACTCATTGGGGACCTTCCCATTGTGGGGGCTGTGTCGATGTTCTTCATCCGACGCCCGGTAAGGGAAAACAATGAAGGGCTATGGGGAAGCAGGGGAAGCAGAGAGGACTGGGAGGATGAGGGCAGCCAGTGATGCGGAATGAGAAGGGAATTGACAAGAAGGCCGAGGGGTCTGGCAACTGTTGGATGGGTATGACCACACCCCATAGGATCTGTCCTGACCCCTGCTGTTTCCCTGCAGACCCTAGACATCAACTGGACAGGGATGACCAACCTGCTGGATATCCCAGGACTTAGGTATCAAGGACTTACTGAGCATCTGCTGAGTGTTCCAGTGCTGGGTTGGGGGTTTAAGGGACACAGAGCAGTCAAAGATGCTGCTTGTGTCCTCTAGGAGCCTCAACTTCAGTTGGGGAGCGAAGACAAATACCCCTGGAAAGTTTGATACTGTGATTTTTCTTCGGGTTGAGGGAGCAGGTAGGGAATGAAGAGGGCTGAAGACTGCAAAAGGCAATGGGGATGGCAGTGAAGAAGGGAGAGAGCAGTAGGTGGGGAATTAGGGTAGAAGAGTAGCACAAAGGATTTTTACAAAAGGACTTTCTTACAGCTTTAGGTGTGGGAAACATAGTTGGGGTTAGGAGAAAATTGAAGTTGAGGCCATACCCATTGCTTTCTACTCCCCCATTCAGCTCACTCTCTGACACCATGATCATGGACTCCATCGCTGCCTTCCTCGTGTTGCCCAATCGATTACTGGTGCCCCTTGTGCCTGACCTTCAAGATGTGGCTCAATTGCGTTCCCCTCTGCCCAGGGTATGGCCTTTTCCCCACTAGATAGATCCTTCTCTCAGGAACCCCTTGCTGGGTCCTTAGTTTCTCACCATCTGATTCCTTCCTCCAGGGCATTATTCGAATTCACCTGCTGGCTGCTCGAGGGCTGAGTTCCAAGGACAAATATGTGAAGGGCCTGATTGAGGGCAAGTCAGACCCGTACGCACTTGTGCGTTTGGGCACCCAGACGTTCTGCAGTCGTGTCATTGATGAAGAACTCAACCCACAGTGGGGAGAGACTTACGAGGTGGGAGAGTTGAGCAGCTGTGTGAAATGGGGAAGCCTCAGGAGGCTGTGAGAGAAGATGCTGATGAGATGATCCTCACAGCTGCAGCCCCATGAGACACTCAGCCTTCTGTGTTCCCCAGGTGATGGTACACGAGGTCCCAGGGCAGGAGATTGAAGTGGAGGTGTTCGACAAGGATCCAGATAAAGATGACTTTCTGGGCAGGTGAGACTCTGCCTGTTAGGATTCTAAAGCCCATGCTGGCCAGGTGCGGTGGCTCACGCCTGTAATCCCAGCACTTTTGTTGACCAAGGCTTGCGGATCATGAGGTCAGGAGATCAAGACCATCCTGGCTAACACCGTGAAACCCCATTTCTACTAAATATACAAAAATTAGCCGGGCGTGGTGGCAGGCGCCTGTAGTCCCAGCTACCTGGGAGGCTGAGGCAGGAGAATGGCGGGTGAACCCAGGAGGCAGAGCTTGCAGTGAGCCAAGATCGTGCCACTGCACTCCAGCCTGGGTGACAGAGCGAGACTCTGTCTCTAAAGAAAAAATAATAATAAAAAATAATAATAATAGAGCCCATGCTACCGAGGTTCTGGAGGTAATTATACTCACCACCTGGGCCTGGGAATAATGTATCATTTTCCTTCCTAACCTCCCCACCCCTAACCCCTACCATGCACACATTCACGCATGCAGGTGAATATCTCCTGAGAGGAATAAGGGAGTCTGAGATCTGCCAGTCATTTCTCGGTGGGTGAGTGGAAGGCCACTGACCTGCTGCTAATTACAACACTCCCCTTTTCTTCCTTTCACTACCCTCTCCCCTCCCCATCCCAGAATGAAGCTGGATGTAGGGAAGGTGTTACAGGCTGGTGTTCTGGATGATGTAAGTTGGGAGAAGAGGAAGGTGGGGGCTGATCTCACCCTTTGGGCAGATGGTAGTTGCTACATTGGTAGGGAAGTAGATAAGCAGATATCTGATCTCTACTACATCTCAATTTCTTCTAGTGGTTCCCTCTACAAGGTGGGCAAGGCCAAGTTCACTTGAGGCTAGAATGGCTGTCGCTTTTGTCAGATGCAGAGAAACTGGAGCAGGTACACCACATGGGAAACAGGAAGCTGGCAGGGGAGAAGTAGGTAGCTGCAAATGTAGGGGACTTGGAACGGGGACCAAGATCTGACTACTACTACCCCTCCCCAGGTTCTACAGTGGAATCGGGGAGTCTCCTCTCGACCAGAGCCCCCATCAGCTGCCATCTTAGTTGTCTACCTGGATCGGGCCCAGGATCTTCCTGTGAGTTTGGCTGGGTGAACAGGAGCCCTGGATGTAGCATTCCCCAACCCTGCCTTGCTGAGGATGCAATTGTCACCGCCTGCTTTGCTCCAGAAGTATCAGCATGTAACACAAGGGTCCCAGGGAGGGGATCAGATCCATCTCAGGGAAAGGATTCTGATGCGATCCCACCTTCCTTCACCAAAACCAAAACCAAATCCCCCAAGATGGTGACCTCTGAATTGTACCCACCACAGCTGAAGAAGGGGAACAAGGAACCCAACCCCATGGTACAACTGTCAATTCAGGATGTGACTCAGGAGAGCAAGGTGAGGGCCAGGACATCATTGTCAGGGGCCAGGTGGGACAGGGAGAGGCCTGTTCTTGGAATGGTTTCCCCTTTAGAATGCCTGTTATGTGCAGAGGTTTTCTGGAGAAACAGGAGTGGTGCTGTGCTATACACCCTTAATCCCTCCTCCACATCTCCAGGCTGTCTACAGTACCAACTGCCCAGTGTGGGAGGAAGCATTCCGGTTCTTCCTACAAGACCCTCAAAGCCAGGAGCTCGATGTGCAGGTGAGATAATCACCTCTTCATCCCCTCTTGAATACCCTATTGTGTCTATCCAGATTAGTACCATTTCTCCTTTCCTTCTTTTCCCTTCATTCCGATTTTTAATCCATCTACCTAGACTCCCCACCTCCCTGAATATCTCTCCACTGTTCCCCAACTGTTGCTCCAGAATACTTTTTTTTTTTTTTTTTTTTGAGACGGAGTCTGGCTCTGTCGCCCGGGCTGGAGTGCAGTGGCCGGATCTCAGCTCACTGCAAGCTCCGCCCCTCCTGGGTTTACGCCATTCTCCTGCCTCAGCCTCCCGAGTAGCTGGGACTACAGGCGCCCGCCACCTCGCCCGGCAGTTTTTTGTATTTTTAGTAGAGACGGGTTTCACCGTGTTCACCAGGATGGTCTCCGATCTCCTGACCTCGTGATCGCGCCGTCTCGGCCTCCCAAAGTGCTGGGATTACAGGCTTGAGCCACCGCGCCCGGCCTACTTTTTTTTTTTTTTTGAGATTGCTGTCTCGCTCTGTTGCCCAGGCTGGAGTGCGATGGTGCGACTCTCAGCTCACTGCAACCTCCGCTCCGCGGGTCACGCAATTCTCCTGCCTCAGCCTCCCGAGTAGCTGGGACTACAGGTGTGTGCCACCACACCCAGCTAATTTTTGTATTTTTAGTAGAGATAGGGTTTCACCATGTTGGCCAGGCTGCTCTCGAACTCCTGACCTCAGGTGATCTGCCTGCTTCAGCCTCCCAAAGTGCTGGGATTATAGGCATAAGCCACCGCACCTGGCCTTAGTTCGTATGTACTAGTTCTTGAATGATTTTATATATGTGTGTCTTGTCTATGAAACTGGCCAGTAAGCATTGTGAAAGCAGATACTATGTTTTGTGCTTTTTCTATGACCTTTAAAATTCTGAATGTTAACAATTTTATTGAGGCATAATTTACATACCATACAATCACTGATTTTAGGTATATAATTCCCAATTATAAAAAATTAATTCGGCCGGGCGCGGTTGGCTCAAGCCTGTAATCCAGCACTTTGGGAGGCCGAGACGGCGGATCACGAGGTCAGAAGATCTCGAGACCATCCTGGCTGACACGTGAAACCCCGTCTCTACTAAAAATATAAACTTAGCCGGCGAGGTGGCGGGGCTGTAGTCCAGCTACGGAAGGGTAGGCAGGGAATGGGTACGGGAGCTTTTCGCTTTGCAGTGAGCTGAGATCGGACATGCTCCAGCCTGGGGGCAGAGCGAGACTCCTCAAAAAAAAAAAAAAAAAAAAAAAAAAAATTAATTCTGGCCAGGTGCGCAGTGGTTCATCGCCTGTAATCCCAGCCTTTGAGGCGTCGAGGCAGGTGGATCACGAGTCCGGAGATCAAGACCATGCCTGGGTTAACCACGGTAAATCCATCTCTACTAAAAATACAAAAAATAGCCGGGCTGTGTGGTGGGTGCCTGTAGTTCCAGCTAACTCCAGGAGGCTGAGGCAGGAGAATGGCGGTAACCCCAGGGAGGCACGAGCCTTGGCAAAGTGAGCAGAGATTGCATACCACTTGCCACTGTGCAGCCCTGGTGACCACGAGCAAGACTCCGTCCTCAAAAAAAAAAAAAAAAAAATTATTCTAAGACTGGGCGCGGTCTAAATGAGTGCATTTTAAATGGTACCGTTAAATATGCCTCATAAAATCGTAACAGTGTTTTTTTTTTTTCTTTTCGGGAGAGTTTCGCTTTGTTGCCAGGGCGTAACATGGCGATCGGTCACCGCAATCCCATCTGTTCAAGTGAATTTCTGCCTCAGTCTGGAGTGCTGGGATTAAGGGAGCATCTTAATTTTTGGGTGTTTTTTAGTAGAGAGGGTTTTCATGTTGGTCGTGGTTTGCAACTCCGATCCAGGTGATCGCTCACCTCCCAAAGGCTTGATTACAGGCGTCGAGCCACCATGGCCTGGCCCAACATTCAGCCGTTTTTAAAGGTCATAGAAAAGCACAAAACGTAGTGTCTGGCCTTCACAAATGCTTACTGGCAGTTTCCATCTAGACAAGACACACATACCCTACCAAATCATTCAGCAAGTAACATATGACAAGACCAGCACGGTTGGCTCCAATGCCTATAAATCCCAGCACTTTGGAACCCAAAGCAGGCGGATCATCTGAGGTCAGTGAGTTGAGACCTAGCCCTGTCAGCATGGGAAACGCCATCTGTACTCAAAAATACCAAAATTCCGGGCCTGGTGTGCACACCTGTAATCCCAGCTACTTGGGAGGCTGAGGCAGGAGAAATCATCTTGAACCCCGGAAAGTGGAACAGTTGCACGTGAGCTGATTTCATCGCCAACTCGCACCTCCAGCCTGGGTGCGAGCAAAACTTCGTCTCAAAAAAAAAAAAAAAAAAAAAATATAAAAAACCAGAACAGAAAATAACAGTTACATACGAAACTTGTATAGGACCTAAGGAGGGTCAGAGCGAAAGGCGCACAGGCTGGAATAACTAGGGAGATTTTGTGAAGCAAGAAGTAGACTGTTAATTGAGTCTTGAAGGAGAGTCAGGTTTAAATACGGCGGAGGAAGAGAATGAGGGGACTTTCCAAATACGTGGGAGCAGAATGAACAAAGGTGGAAGAGGCCCTGATTGGGCACGAGTACTAATAAACTCAGATGACTTCCTGGCTGAGGTGGGCGCCGATTGCCTGAGCCTCAGAGTTTGAGACCCACCTGGGCAATGACGATGAACCCCATCCTCTACTAAAATACGAAAACTTCGCCGGGCACTGTCGCCAAAGCCTTGTACAACCCAGCACTTTGGGAGCCTGAGACGGGCGGATCACGCAGGTAAGGAGATGCGAGACAGCCCTGGCTATACACGGTGAACCGTTCTACTAAAAATACAAACAAACTCAAGCCAGTGAGGTGGGCGCCTGTATCCAGATTTGGGAGGCGAGCTTGTAGTGAGCTGAGATCCGCCCACTGCACCCTCCACGCCTGGTGACATAGCCGAGACTCTGTTCCAAAAAAAAAAAAATAACAATACAAAACACTTAAGCCAGACATTGACAGGCATGCGCCTGTAGTCACCCAGCTACTTGTTGGAGGCTGAGAGTAGAAGAATAGGGTTGAACCACAGGAACCCAGGAGGATCGAAGTTGCAGTGGAACCAAGAGATGGCTCAGCCGCGAGTTGGTAGCTCGCAGGCGTTTGTTTGAGACTGAACTGTCTCAAAAAAAAAAAAAAAAAAAAAGGTGGCCCTGAGTGGAGCAGGAGGTTTGTGATTGGTCCAGAGAGGAATGAAGCTGGAGCCATGTTATCATTTTCACAGTATGCCGTCCTTTCCCCTAATCCCTTCACTATAGTCCTTTCTCCTGTTCCTGTAGGTGAAGGATGATTCCAGGGCCCTGACTTTAGGAGCACTGACACTGCCTCTGGCCCGCCTGCTGACTGCCCCAGAACTCACCCTGGACCAGTGGTTCCAGCTTAGCAGCTCTGGCCCAAACTCCAGACTCTACATTAAACTAGTCATGAGGGTATGGAAACGGAGGAGGTACTGAGGTGTGGGGGAAAGGCCTGTTCATTCTTTGGTATTAAGAGTAAGCAAAGGGAGCCTCCTAAGATTAAATGAGCTAATACATGTAGAAGTGCCAAGCAGGCACAAAAACACATTGATCTGACTGGTGGAAGGAATGGCTTATGAGTTGAAGGGGTGTGGAGGAAAGCCTCTAGAGATGAGCCCAGCCAAGGCAGCACCTAGTTCCCCTGTCACAGCCCCTCCTCTACCCCACCCCACATGCCTTGCCTGCTAGTGGCGAGCTGCACTTCTTTGATTTGACATCACACTACCCTTCCCAGATCCTGTACTTGGATTCATCAGAAATATGCTTCCCCACTGTGCCTGGTAGTCCTGGTGCTTGGGACGTGGACAGTGAGAGTCCCCAGAGAGGCAGCAGTGTGGATGCCCCACCTCGACCCTGTCACACTACTCCTGATAGCCAGTTTGGGACTGAGGTGAGTCTATATCTGGAAAGGACTAGGGTCTGTTTGCCCTGCTTAGTGTGCAAAGCCTGTTTCAGGGCAGATTCTGACAGGTCTCTCTCCCTTTGCCATCTGGTGCTGCCCTGTCCCTTTTGCAGCATGTGCTTCGGATCCATGTATTAGAGGCCCAGGACCTGATTGCCAAAGACCGTTTCTTGGGGGGACTGGTGAAGGGCAAGTCAGACCCCTATGTCAAACTAAAGCTGGCAGGACGAAGCTTCCGGAGCCATGTTGTTCGGGAAGATCTCAATCCCCGCTGGAATGAGGTTTTTGAGGTCAGAATTGAATGGCTGTGACTCCTGGTTCTGCCCCATTTTTCCCCAATCCCAAAAGTGGTCCAGAAACCTCTGAGGTTCAGTTGACTGGGGGGTCTGGTCATTTGCAGAGGAAAAGGAGAGAATCCTCTTTCATCTGCACTATTGTCTCCCACTAGGTGATTGTCACATCAGTTCCAGGCCAAGAGCTAGAGGTTGAAGTCTTTGACAAGGACTTGGACAAGGATGATTTTCTGGGCAGGTGAGAGCATAGGAGTCTAGGTGAAAAACAGGCTGGGGCTCTTTAGGCCATGGAGTCTGGCCTCCTTGGTTCTCACCATCTAGCTTTTGTCTTAATCTTTCTCTTCCACAGGTGTAAAGTGAGTCTCACCACAGTCTTAAACAGTGGCTTCCTTGATGAGGTGAGCATGGAATTAGAGTCAAAGACCCCTCCTGATCCTGCCCTTGCCTCATTCTCATAGTTCTCCTGTCTGCATATCCCCAAGTCTTCACCCTGCCTACTTCCACAGTGGCTGACCCTGGAGGATGTCCCATCTGGCCGCCTGCACTTGCGCCTGGAGCGTCTCACCCCCCGTCCCACTGCTGCTGAGTTAGAGGAGGTAGGGCAGGAGACTGGAGGAAGGAAGAGACCCAAGATGGGGCAGGATGAGCTCTTCTCTTAGTGTTCAGGCCACATGCCAGAACCCAAGGTGTCAGTTACCACTCCCCAGCCCCGTGTGCCCCCCAACAGGTGCTGCAGGTGAATAGTTTGATCCAGACTCAGAAGAGTGCGGAGCTGGCCGCGGCCCTGCTATCCGTCTATATGGAGCGGGCAGAGGACCTGCCGGTGAGATCCCACTCCCCACGCCCCATAACTTCCTGGCCCTTCTTCCACCTCCCTCTGGTTTGGATGCTCCTGGAGTATTTGGAATAGGAAAAATGGCCCCTCTCTTTTCTGAGGGTGGTGCATGGGTGGGAAAAATTGTCTGTTCGAGGCCACGGGGTAGTGGCTGCCAAGTACTAATGGAGACATGGCTGCTGGCTGTGGATATAATTTGTGAGGGCGATCTGCCTAACTAGGTCCAAATTTAAGACTAACACAGTATTCTCTTTCTAGCTGCGAAAAGGCACCAAGCCCCCCAACCCTTATGCTACTCTCACTGTGGGAGATACTTCTCATAAAACCAAGGTATGAAGAAATGCTGCAGGGTAAAAATGGGAGGGACAAGAGGAATAAGAGTATCAGCCGCTGATAGTAAGCCTTCATCTCCACCAGACTGTTTCACAAACTTCAGCCCCTGTCTGGGATGAGAGTGCCTCTTTTCTCATCAGGAAACCACACACTGAGAGCCTGGAGTTGCAGGTACTGTAAATTCATTCTTCAAATATTTAGCAAAGTTCTGCCATGGCCAGGCAGTAAACCAGGCACAGAGCATTCAGAGATGAGATAAAAGATTGACTGGTTGGTTTTACATTTATTATATTTTTTTGAGCGACAGATCTGCTCTGTCCACCCAAGCTGGAGGGCAGTGGCGGCTATCTTGGCTCACCTGCAAGCTCCGCCTCCCGGGGGTGGGGGTCCGCCATTGCCCTGCCCCCTCAGCCTCCTATAGGCTGTACAACAGGCCCCGCCAACACACCTCTAAGTTTTGGCATCTTTTGTTTTTTCTATTAAAGATTGACGTTTCATCATATTATGTGGCCAAGGTCCTCGAACGTCCTGACCGTCCAGGTGATCCGCCCACCTCCGGCCCCCCAAAGTGCTTGAATAGTGGCCGGGTGTTGACCAGCCGCACCCAGCAGCTGACCTGTTTTTTTTTTTTTAGTTAAAGGCGCGGGGGGCGCAGACAACGGGCAAGGCAGAAATGATGATCTTCAGCAAATTAGCTGGGAGTGAGAAAAGAAAAAAAAAGATGCGTCATATGGCCTATAAAAGGGCATATGGCCAAAAGCCCATTGGTTTGAGAGAGCAAAGACAAAGGGCATAATTCTTCAAGAAGTATTCTAACTATGGACCTTCCTTGCCCTATGCTATTAAAGATGTCTATGTAGCTTATTTTGGCAGGATCTAGAGGGTTTGGAGATTATGAACAAGTCCAAAATGACTCCACTCTGGTGAGGATGTTGATGAATGGGTTGAGCGCCTAGTGCATGGAGTGTATGGGAAGGCGGCTGTAGAAAAAAAAGGAGGAGCAGGAAATCTTTGGGCTTTTCCCTCAATTTTTGCTGTGAATGCTAACATCTCTTAAATAAGAGTTTTAAGCACAAACAACATAAAGCAGGTCAACTTTCAGTGTCCGATGTGAGAATCCTTTTACCAATAGATCAGCAAAAGGTGCTCAAAGAATCTGGATGCCAAGATGCTTGCAGGTTACCTATGAGTCTGAAGGATGAGTGGCTT